CCAAAGTAACACAGACTGTTTCTATGCTTTCTTGTAGACGTTTTACAATTTGGCATTTTGCGTCTATGACCCCTGTTGAGTTATTTTTTGCAGTAAGGCATCCCCTGAAAGGATTTTGAAAAGCTCTCATCCACTACCACCATGCAACGCACACAGGCCTTTTGAAGTTGATTTCTACAGTATTTAGCAGCTGTCTAAGCAGTTGCAAAGGGTGTAATTCCTGGTGTATCGTAAATACCGATGGAAAACAAAACTGGGATATTGCTTTTTCCTAGTTGAGGCCTCACTGAAAAAAAAAAAAAGACCTCACTATGTTGCCAGGTATGTTTCGAACGCCTAGGTTCAAGCCGTCCTCCTGCTCACCCGCCCAACTAGCTGGGGCTACAAGGAGCAAACCATCATCCTCAGTGCGTGATACCACGTTTGACACGAGACCAGCGACATCAAAATTGCTTCAGGAATTGACACTGTGTCCCCCTCCAACTCTGGAAGTGGGTCCCTTCTTTTTAGCCTCACTTTTACCTACTGCCCCTCAAAGCCATTTCTGTGCCACGTGTCTCCAAGTGCAAGCGCATGCGTTACTCACACCATCGTACTTCTAAATGCAAATATATGTGATATATTTGTGAAATAAAAATTGTGTCTATCTTGGTAACACTGGCCACAGAGTGGAACTTTTAACAATGCTTCTTTTCTTTCTTTTGGTGGCATTGGAATTTGAACTTAGGGCTTTATGCTTCCTACGCAGGCGCTCTACCATTTGAGCCCTAGGAAGCCCATCTTTAGAGATGAACAGGCGGGGTTAGGCCTGGGCTCTTGGTGGGGCCCTCCTCAGAGTTCTTATTTTATAGACGGAGTACGCGTGGAAGGCAAAAGATGCTTAAAAAAAAAAAAAACTCTTCCTGTTCCAAGGACCTGTTGAAGACTTTGTGTCAGGCCAGGGGCCCCACAGGCTGCTCTGAAGATTGGTGCCTCTGACTTCGCAGGGGCCTTTTGATACAGGCCTGTGTGGATGTGTTTCTGTCCCAGCCAGGATACCCATCCCCCCCCCCCTCCGTCCAGGGCTTCTTTCCTGAGTGCCTCCCCTGTGCTGGGTCAGCAGAGACACACTTTCTGGGAGTGGATGCTTTGGTGAGGAAGAACAAAGAAGGTGCTGTTGTAATGATAGGTTCCAAAGACTTGGCAGGGTTGTATCCTGGAGAACTGGCACGAGTCGGGCAGGGAAGGCCTGTTGGAGGAGGCAGTGTGTGAGTGAGCGAGGGTGCACCGAGTGAAGGGCAAGCTGAGCAGACATCTGGGGGAAGAGGGACAGCACGTGTACAGGCCTGGGGGGCCGGTGCACTGTGGCTCAAGAAGGGAGAGAGGGGAAGAGTGGCAGAATGATCGCCATACTGGGAATGACATGCAGCATCCATAGGAGAGTTCCAAGCCCCAGAATGACACAATCGGAAGGAAGGGAATGCTCTGGCTGGTGGCAGAGGAGAGGATAAGGGTGAAGGGACAATGGGTGAAGGGAGCCCATTGAATGCTGACTGATGGAGGCTCAAGCCAGGGCAGCGGAATGAGGTCAGGGTTACAGGGACCAGGGACTAGCAAAGGGGCTGTTGTTAACCAAATGGCTTGGAAAGAGAGGACGTTAAAGCAGAGACCTGAAAGCATAGAGCCATGCCAAAATATGGGTGAAGACATGTGGGTGTACTTCCCTCGAAGACACGGGTGGTGCAAAAGCTCTGAGGCCACCCACCAGGCCACAAGGGGACTGGAGCTGCTGAAAACCAGCAAGCATAACTGAGAAGGGAGGCAGTGGTGGCCAGAGCCCAGGGATTGCCTTACAAGGCGCCCTGCAGCGCCGTGGCCCTGCTAGGCCACCGCGTGCTCCGTGTAGGCCGCCAGGAGCCCGCGGGGACGCGCGCGGAGGGGGCGGGGCCGGCGGGGCGCGGGCGGGGGGCTCTCCGCGCGGCAGCCACTGCGCGAGGCGACGTTGCCGCATCGGCTCCAGGTCTGCACCTGCTGCTCTGGGCTGGGGAGCGCGGGGGGTGAGGGGCGTGCAGGGTCCCGGCCAGCGGCCGCCTCAGCTCCGCACGTCCCCCCTCCGCGCACACCTGTCACGCCCGGCGCGCCCCCTGCCCGCACGCGCGCGGCCCACTCAGCTTGCGACTCGGGCGGCCCAGGTTGCGGAGTCCCCCACTCGGTGGCGCCGGGGTCCGGGCTGCGACTGGGCGGCCGCGTGGGTGGCCGTGGTCGTGATAGGTGGCTGTGAGCGGGGTCGCAGGTGCATTCAGGAGGGTTGGTGGCCTGGGTGGTGCGTGCGTGCGGGCGTTGTGCCATGGTGGCAGGTCTGGTGGGGGAGGGGTCCGGGCCCTGTGGATGGAAGTGGGCCCAGAGGGGCCTCGGTGGGAGTGCACAGAGCCTTCTGGAAAGCTGCGGATCCAGCTGGCCTGGATGGGTGGAGGCAGAGAGGGTCGGTGTTGGTCGCCGTCGGGGTGCTGGAATAGGGGGAGCATCGGACAGGCAGCAGCGTGTGTTCGGTGGCCTGCCTCAGTGGGAGGCGTCCATGGAGAAGTGTGGCCCTGGGCCATGGGGGAGCAGAGACATGTACCTGAGTTGAGGAAGGGGGTCCCTCACAGGATCGTGGTCCTGACTGGGGGCACGGGGCATGAGGGTGGCTGTCGCAGGCACTGCCTCGCCTTGGGGGAGGGAGGAGCTGTCCCTTGCCAGGGGCCTCCCTCCACCTCCCCACCCCCTGCAGACATGCTGCTGCTCAAGAAACAGACGGAGGACATCAGCAGCGTCTACGAGATCCGGGAGAAGCTGGGCTCGTGAGTGTGTGCGGGTGATGGTGTGTGAGTGTGTATGAGTGTGCGCGGGTATGAGTGAATGTGTGAGGTGTGTGGATGTGAGTGACTGTGAGTCTGCGAGATGTGTGCATGTGAGATGGTGTGTGAGTGTGTGACTATATGAGTGAATTGTGAGGTGTGTAGATGTCTGAGTGCCTGAGATATTGTATGTGTGGGTGCATGTGCGTGTGTGCTGTGGGTGGCACCAGCCCAGAGGGTTCTGAATCTTCTCGGGGGGGTGGGGGGTGGGAGGGAGGGGGCCCTTCCCCTGTCCCTTCTTTGCCTTCTCCCCTTTCTGATCTGTACCTTTCCTCTCTCTCTGCCTCCCACCATCTGGCTCTGTGGCAGAGGCGCCTTCTCTGAGGTGGTGCTGGCCCAGGAGAGGGGCTCTGCACACCTTGTGGCCCTCAAGTGCATCCCCAAGAAGGCGCTGCGGGGCAAGGAGGCCCTGGTGGAGAATGAGATTGCAGTACTCCGCAGGTGTGCCCCCTCCACCCCCCCCCCCGCAGCCCTGGTCCTTAGGAGCCCCTTGGCCTGGGAGGCTGAGCCCTCCGGGGTAATCCAGGCCTGGCTGCCTGGCTGCCAAGCTGCAGGGATGTTGGAGGCAGTTCTCTTGCCCTCTCGGGGCCTGCATGTCTCCATTGGTGAAATCAGAGGGTCCATACTGAGCTGTGCTTTGCAAACGGTTAGGGGCTGGAGCTCTGCCTTCCTGGATAGGCCAGGGGGCTTATGGAATGGGGCACAAGTGGGGAGAAGAGGAAAGGGAGGGGCTCGGGACAAAGCTCTGCCAGACCCTGCTGTGCTCTCAGAGGGGTCTGCAGTGGCCAAGGCCCATGGTTGCCCACAGGGGCTTTCTCTTGCTGTTACAGGGTCAGCCACCCCAACATTGTGGCTTTGGAGGACGTCCATGAGAGCCCCTCCCACCTCTACTTGGCTATGGAGCTGTGAGCAGGGGCGGTGGGAGGCTGGGCAGGAGTGGGGGCTGAAGCCTGGACTGAGGGGCCAGGGTCAGCTGAGCTCCTCACTCTGCAGGGTGACAGGTGGTGAGCTGTTTGACCGCATCATGGAGCGGGGCTCCTACACAGAAAAGGATGCCAGCCACCTGGTGGGTCAGGTCCTCGGTGCTGTCTCCTATCTGCACAGCCTGGGCATTGTGCACCGGGACCTCAAGGTGACTGGCTGGGGGCTCCCACCTCCTCCATCTCGCCTGCCCACCTGCCCTGAGTGGTTTTCCCAAGAACACAGTTGGGGCCTTTCCCAGTGTCTCTTTACACCAGAGAACTTCGGGGTCCTGAGGCTCATGCTGTCTCAGTGCCTGGGCAATGTCAGGACTGACCTGGCCCTTTCCTTATCTCCACCTGTCACAGCCTGAAAACCTCCTCTATGCCACACCCTTTGAGGACTCCAAGATCATGGTCTCTGACTTTGGCCTCTCCAAAATCCAGGCTGGCAATATGCTAGGCACTGCCTGTGGGACCCCAGGATATGTGGGTGAGTGGGGGGCACTCTG